GTCCCATTTGTACCTGCATCATATGTGCATTATACATGTATTAAAGAGATGTTTGAAAATATCCGATTTGAGTTGTTTTATGTTTGAAATGGACGGCGATAAATTATTTAAGAGCATGTGAGAAAGATGAGGGAGAGATGCAAGGCAGTTTGTAATTATGAAAAAGGAAAACAGAGAATCGGGTTCGGATTTTAACATTCCTGACCGAAATAGGCATGAAATTCATTGTAAGTAGCATAAATAAAATGCCAAACATGTAATTCTAGATGGGAAACACGGGGAGGAAACGTGTATTTCTTTTTACTATGCTGAAAGTCGCTATTTCTTGGGATTGTGTTATTTAAGAAAAAAAAATATCAAATTTCAAATGAAATCAAGATTCATTTCATTAATATTAAATCTAAATGAAATTGAAATAAATTCCACATACTACAGAAAGCTAGAATATTTGGTATTAAAATGTCGTATTAGAACAGGAGAATCGAGTGATATTAACAACAAATGAAGAAATAGCCAATACAAGCTTTAATTCATTTTATGCCCATCAGAATTTAAATTTCAGACAGAAAAAAAGATGTAGTTTTTGCCGATAATCAGTAGAATTTCATTATACTCAAAAGACTCGCCGTAAAACTCTTAGGACACTTTCTTTAAGGTGTCTTCTACTCAAATCCTTAATCTTATGTCGATCTCTGGTGTTGTTTGACTTGTAAAAATTTTTTCTACATAGCTATTGATTTTTTTTTAAGGGACCGATGGGGGGGGGGGGTATATTCTATAAACATTTGTTAAAGTGAGAGTTGAAAATACCTCCACATACTTAAGCTTGATTGTAACCTTTGGGTCAATGGGGTCAAAGGTCAAGGTCATTTAGCAAGGTCAAGGTCATCCAAAAAAAAAAAAACAACAACAACAACAAAAAAAAAGAAAAAAAACCCTTATAAACCTGAGTTTTAAACTTGAAGCTGAATCTAGGTAAAGGTAATGAATATATCATTTAACTTTTGGGTCAAGGTCAAAGGTCAATGTCAGATGTGAAGGTCAAAGGTCAAGGTCATTTCCCCCAAAGCACATATAAGCAATTTTTACATTTTCCCAATGACTTTGACCTTTGACCTTGACCTAATCTTCAAGGTCAAAGGTCAAAAGATCTCATGCATTCTCCCCATGTCTTTTCAACTTGTCGTTAAAAAGTTTTTAGTTCTTCGTAAACATCAGAATCTGTAAGGGGCAATAACTACTTAAAATGGTTGACGAATCCTTTCGCAATGAATAGATCCGAGAGTGTACTAAATTAGTCGTAGACATTGTTGAAGGTTTTGTATCTCTGCAGTTTACGGTTTCGGAGGAGTAGTGATAACAAGGGTTTACAGTGGAAGGGGCACTAACCTTTAGAGGGGTCAATCTTAGGGGACAAGCATGAAATCTCTGAAATGTTTTTAAAAGTACATATTGAAGATGCAAAGATATTTAGAATTTGGTAAAGAACAAAAGAGCTATAAAAAAAATGCTTAATTTTACATATTTTGAATAACCTTGACCTTTGACCTTGACCTAAATTTCAAGGTCAAAGGTAAATGAATCTTTTGCAGTTGGCCCCATGTCTCTACGCCTTGTCGTTTAAGAAAAGATCTTGATAATCGTAAACACCGCAAACATTCAGGGGCAATAATTCATTGTAGGGGTTGACGAATCCTTTCGCAATGAATAGATCCAAGAGTGTACTAAATTAGTCGTAGACATTGTTGAAGGTTTTGTATCTCTGCGGTTTACGGTCTCGGAGGAGTAGCGATAACAAGCATTTCTTGCAAAAGGGGCAATAACTCCTTTAAGGGTCAAAGTTCATATACGCAGGGTCAACTGCGAAAATCATTTACGAAGTACATTCTTATGGTCTATAAATCTTTTCGATAAATCTTGAAACTCATAAACACGTTTGGCGGAAAAATAATAATAATAAACAGAACAATTTCAATAGGTCTTTCCACAGAAAGGTGGAAAGACCTAATAAAAATAGTGGAAAAGAAACCTAAGAAAAACAATAACGTCTTCCGCTGAAGACGGAAGACCTTAATAATAATCTTTACCAACAGATTCAGTAGAAGGTCTTCCGTTGGAAACGGAAGACCTTAATAAACAAACTTCAGAATCAAACAGAAAAGTCCAGTGTTATTTCATGATACAGCAAAATTGTTATCCTGCTGTCTATCTATGGTTGTTTTCACAGATGATCGTGAAGTTTTCACTCGGATCTCCTTGGCTCGGTGTCTCGTATACCAAGCACAGTGAATAGGAGGAGTCAACCAAGGATTGCCATTGTGAAGTTTTCCAAGAATGTCCGACCGTGAAGCCAAGCAAACGTATTCCAGACGTATGGACTATCGTAGTTGCTGGCGCTCGAGAGCGCTAGCAAAAATCAAGAAATTCTCAAGAATAATACGGTCTGAAAGGTGTAGATCATTAAACACTTTAAGCTCTAGTTATAGCTTTGCTGTTTTTAAGAAGAAAATTGTTTAAGATTAAGATGTTGTGAGATGTTTTACAAGTAGATCTCCAACACTGTAGAACGAGTCTCGTACTTGCCACAACTTGCAATTAGTGCAATAAGATCCTCTGTCAATCGAAGTACAGGGTTTACGCCAAAGATGTTGATGCTTGGAAGAGGAAATAAAACTTTTACACAAAAATATTCTGTTGGTGATGCGTATATATCTTAGACGCATCAACACCAAAAGATAAATGCTTAAAGCTGAGATCCAAATGGAAGGGATCAGGGTTGGTAGTGAAGAAAATTACCGATTACTTGTATAGAGTAATGTTGCCTACAAAAATTTTCTCAGCATTTTGAAAGAATTTCACAGAAATGTCTATTGTTAGTACCCATAGCAACATCGTTCATCCAAATCGAAAATCGATGCACTACTTTATGCATCTTTGTGTAGTCTACTTTTGTGGCATATTATACTGAAATCTTACCAAACCTGTAGCAGGAGTAGCATTTTGAATAAAGTGTTTACAGACAGACGGACGGACGACGGGCCTCTTTTAATCGCTCGGATAATCTTTTCTGGTCTTTGACAAGCTGACCTAAAAACCAACTATTCTTGCTTTTATAGACATGCGTATTCTTTCAGGTATTATTTTCATAAACGCATACATCAGACCTGTAGAATAAAATTAGTGATATCAAGGCATCAATCAATTAAAAGAGAATATGAATGGGTTGTCAATGCCCTATTGATTTAAACAATACATAAAAATGACCTATATGAAAAATTTTCTGAGGTAAACGGGATTTACAGCCTTTTAATGAACCTTTGAAGAAACCGAAGGTCCTTTACAATATTCAGGTATTTTCCCCTCTTCGAATTCTTTTCTTCAAATATGAATAAACAAGAAGTATGTGAGTCAATGTTCACTGGTAATACTCCCGGTCTAAGGTGAATATACGCTTTCATGTTCATATACATGTACAGAAGTTCAATTACGGGCAGATGTACAGATAAACAGGAAGTTGACATCAGATTCATACATAAATGAATCCAACCATATAGCATGCCTCAACAAAGAGTATTCTAAAATTTCAAGCATGATGAAACTCAAGCAGATGAGTAGTTGCAAAAAAAACTGCGACGAAAATTTGTTATGTATGGTACGGACAGACGCATTGATAAACAGGAAGTCGATATTAGATTTGAACAAAAATGAACTTATTTTATTATATGATTGAATAATTTCCTTCTCTCTGATTGGCTGAGATCCAACTATGGTAGAAAAACACTACGTTGTATTGACATTCACGTGACGTTCAAGGTCAACACAAGGAATTATTGCTGGTCAATATAAGGAATTATTGACCTGTTCCATTTTTTCTGTTACAATGTGTTCTTGTTGAAATTTCTTGTTAAAACTTTCAATTAAAGTAAAGAAATAGTCTTGTAGGAGTTTGCTATCATCTAATCATATAATAAAACATTTATTGCTGTTTTTTGCGGTCAATACGATGATTTCGCCACCTTCGAAGTACAATATTCACTCCGCCCTTCGGGATCAGTGAAAATTGTACTCCTCAGGTGTCTAAATCATCGTATTGACCGAACAAAACAGCAATAGTTATATCATATCACAGCGTCATTAATGTCTTTAATATAGATGGTTTTAATAATGTGTAAACAATAAATAAAAATTGAGAAGTAAAAAATTGTTTTGTGTCATTTTACAATGTCTTTTCTCTGCTCAAATAGAAATTTGAGAGGGTTATTAAATGCATCGGTTATTCCATGTAAAAATCTACCTATAAATCTATCCGAAAGTCCCGTTTCTCTTCCTTGAATATCCCGCATTAATTGTTGAAGATTCAATTCAAATTCATCAAATCTTCTTATTCCTACTCTCTCTTTCTCTTTAAGGGACTCCAATCCTCAGCCAGGAAGGACAACTCTTTAATTTATAATTTAATTCAAAAAGTCTAAAAATGAAGCTTGAAAATGAAATCTTTTCATGCAATACTTTTCATTATATACCTCTCAATGTGTTTCAAGGTTCTTTGAAGTTCTCAGAAAGGTCTAATTAAAAGTTGAATTTTTTATCCCGTAAAAGCATTTATAAATTACATATATCACAAAATTGATGTTCATTTTAATCTGACCATAGATACCAATGTTTATTGATATGATATGAAATTAGAAGTGATTTATGGAGCTTTGCAATAACTGGAGAATCTTTATACACTTTGAATTGTAAAGTGATAGAAGTAAATAAAAGAAATAAAAGTACATTATATGTATAAAAATTGTGGAATTTCTTCAAAAGCCTGGATACCTATGATTTTTATTTTTGAAATGTGTTAATTGTTCAAATTTGAATTGCAAAATGCATAGCAGATGTTTTTATTTGCAATTCCTGAAAATATATTTGAGATTTACTACTTTTCTCTATATAATATGATTAACTTGAAAGATGAAGTTTGAAGAATTATTATGGGTAAAAATACGTTACTTTCAGAGATATTTTTGTGTGTATTTCCATGTAGTCAATGCTTGATATTCAGAACCTGAGGATTGGAGTATCTTAAGGCGTAGTTGGTACTCTCTTATGAGTTTTTCTCTGTCCATAAGCAATTTTTTTATGTTTTCTTCAGTTGATTGGAGTACTTCGTCTCGCTCTAGTTTAACTACGTCTTTGCCTAGTCTTTGTGTTTCACATTTTCTTTCATCTCGTAAAAGGTACCTGTTGTCCTGATTTTCCATTATCTTGGCTAACTCTGTGTCTACTGAGATGTCGATATCCATAACTTTTTTCTGAATTGTATCCCTTTGTTGTTTGAAAATTTCTTTGTGTCTGAGTCCTTTTAGTATTTCCTTTCGTATTTTTAATTCTGCGTCAAAATCTTGGATTCTTTTTTGCAATTCTTTGAAATCAGCAAAGAATTTGCCCTCAGTTTCAGCAGTATATTTTTCTTTTTGTTCAGCAATTTCCCATTCTTTTTGTTTTCTTAGTTCTAATTCTCTGTCTTTTAAATTCAGTTCCGCTTTATGATAGTCTTTATTTGAGAAAACGCGACCGGCGTTTTGAACGACATTGCTTTCTATAAGACATAATAAATTTTTGACTTGTTCATTACTTGCGGGACTTTGGAGTTCTTCTCTGTTATTGAACGCAATAAATCGACGATCTAATTTTTCAAAAAATTTTGTAAAGCTTTCTGGCATTGAATTCAGGTATTGCTCTAGGGTAACATTATCTTCATCTAGAGCGTCTTTTCGTGTAAAAAGCAAAATGAAATAGCGATAAATTTCTTCTCCAAAATGATTTACGAAATGATTGATAGATGTTTCCTCCTCAATTGTATATCTGCCTATGCTTAATACTATTACAAACGCATGTGCTCCAGGGGAAGATAAGGCAATACATTTTGAAATTTCTCTGTGTATAAATTCATTTGAAGCGCCTGTATCAAAAAGACCTGGTGTATCAATAACACGTAGATCTCTTCCAAATCTCTTAGCAATACCTAGCTTACATTTGTTTGTTACGGATATATTGGAAGAAAAATATTTTTCTCCAAGAATTGTGTTTCCTGTTGCACTTTTTCCGCTCCCTGTTTTCCCAATCAGAACAATTCTGCATTCATTTGCAAAAGGCTCCTCAGACATCTTAATGAGCGTTGAACCTGTGTACAAAAAAAATACATGCATATAACTATAAATTAGATTGTGTGAGATGCATATTGTCGACTTGCACAAATTGTCGCCGGTGACTACTGAATGACTGTACGGCTCAACGCATCATAAAAAAGGCTTGTAAAAATTTTCCAGTAGGATTTGGAATTATTATACTACTCATAAATGTATATACCTTTAGAAAACTACAAATTTCATAAGTATATGCGTAGTTTACATAAACAAAACAGCCTTTGTACATTGTAAGAGAGGGAAGCCCGTGTAGGCCAGCTACATTGATAAGTCGACCAAAAAAGAAATATTTAGCTGTATATTTAATTGTATTCCTACTTGGGATGTCAAATCGGTCAATTTTTAATATTCGGTTACTCGGACGTTTTTCCGATCGAGTACCCGGGTACTCGGTAAAAATGTAAATAAATATGAACAAGTAAATTGATGAATGTAAAACATTGTAAACACTTGTAGAAATGAAACCACATGCTCTGATATGAGGTTTACACGTAAAATTAATGCATTTCTGTTGAAACAATGATTAGAACTTCGTGTCCGACAAAATTCAATACAACATTTATTATACCCCCCGCTTGAAAAGCGGGAGGGTATATAGTAATCGTTAATTCCATCAGTCTGTACGTCTGTCCGTCCGTCCGTCCGTCTGTCCGTCCGTACGTCTGTTACGCTTTGGGGTACCCATCTCTTATCCGCAACTCCTCTCATACCACTGAATGAAATTTGATGCAACTTTCACAGAATCTTTATTATATATTGCCATTGTGCACCTCCTATTTTACTTTTTGATCCGACACATATTTTGGGTTTCCCAGCCACAGGAAATCATGGACTTTTTCACCAGTTATAACCATATGGGAGGCGGGGGGTATCATTTAGTGAGCTCATCGCTCACAGTACCTCTAGTTTAAGTTCAATTTATTTATCAGATAAACACAAGAAATAAAATCGTAAGTGCTTCATGGTGTTTTTGTTTTAAAAAAAATTACCACGTAATTGTAATGTAACTCTTTGTTGCATTTGACGTCAAGGTATATATCAGTCGTACAGTTTGACTTGAACTTGACCAAGTTCTAACAGAGCCATCTTCGCTAGCCAAGGGTTTCTGATACGCTACTCTCCTCATAAACCCTTGGCATACGGTGTTCACAAAAGACGGGATTGTTTTCCGTCACGTGATCTCGAATCTATCAGGTACGCACAGATTGCGTCATCGCCAGAAATAAAGACACGTGTTAAAAAAATGAAATCAACGTTTTTTCAAGAATAATTAAGAAGCAATGAGTGAGTTATGTTTATTCATTATTTATAGAACAAATCTGAAGCTTCAATATAGATTCTTAATCACTTATTTAGAAGATACTGAATGACACCATGGCTATTCATAGAATTGAATGTTATCTTGCGGATCGTTGTTTTCTTGCGTTTTTCATTTCCGAGATTAAAGAGTGAAGATGTATCCCGAACGCAAATATCGTCATTTACAAAAAACAATTGCTGATTGGTCGAACTGGGTGTACTGAAATCCAATCAGAACTCTGGAAAAAAATCCCAATTTCTATGAACACCGTAGGCCAAGGGTTTCTGAGGAGAGTAGCGTATCAGAAACCCTTGGCTAGCGAAGATGTAACAGAGCCGATTTACGATTTTCGTATACTTTTCGATCCTATAGATTTTATAGTATCACGGGACAGTATTTTGTAGTTTGGTGCAACGATGGACATCATTTTTTTTAAGCCTTTGTCGTCAACTATTTGTACATGTATGGGCATGTAATCAAACAGAACCATATCAACAGTCGCGCGTGTAATATCATCTGTCTCTTTTCCCGAGAATTTACGGCTTCTCGAAGAATTGACAAAATTATCTAATTTATTCAATCCTAACAGACCTTAAAGATGTTCAGTGAAAACAAATAATACAAGAAAATAAAAAATAAGGGGAGAAGACGGCCGAAGGTGAGAAAAGCCAGGTAACAGGTGCTTGGTCACGATAATTACTGTATAAACACTGCCACGGGCGATAACGGTCATTTAGAGGACTAGGAAACCCTAATTACTGTATGTACAGGTGTAATGAGTATTTTACGTTTTAAAACAGATTGTTTAATGCATTAATAAATAAGCTTAGAAATATTCAAAAATATACATCCGAGTAACCGAGTACCGATTTTAGTATTCGATACTCGGACGTTCGATCGAGTACCCGGTTAACCGGGTACTCGTTCACATCCCTAATTCCTACTAATGTTATTTCTTCACCAGTTTCCAAACAGGGCAAAAAGAATCGAAGTCATCAGACCATAGCCACTATTCCTTCAGATGATTCATCTCAAAGTTCGTCAGATGAGAGCAAAAGAGGAGTTTACATCATACCACAGCGTCGTCGTCGACAAAACCCCCAGCATTCTTCTCCTGCATGGACAGTCAACTATAAACCATTCATCTCTACGACAGTCATCTACAAAGCATTCTTCTTTACGTCAGTCTACTATACCATCTTCTTATTTTAGATCTTCAATTTCAGTGAATTCGCCAAGTATTAGTACTCCACCTCCCAGAAGATCAACTAGAGTCAGTAAACCGCCAGAGAGATATGGGGAGTGGCAGTATGTCCAGGATGTGAATCAGCAATGTGTTTACTTAGAGACACTTGCATGTGTAGTACAAGCAGAGGTGTGATTAGTTAAAACACTTGTGTAGATTGTGTGTCTGTTTTTAGGTATAGATAGTTTCATAAAGTTATATTTTTAATCATTTTTTACTACGTGTATAATTACAGGTATGTGCAAATATTATATGATGACAACAATGAAGTTTGTTCTTCATTAGTATTACTACTGATGTAGGATAGCTTGTATATTTTTTATGACTACTTGACCCATGCCCTGGTACCCTTGGCCAGGTTATGAGGTTATGTCAGGAGCCATTTGATCCTGGCAGGGGGAATATGTAGCCAGATGTTAAATGTTAGATAGAGTGAGTGAATGATGTTCACTACTAACAAAAACCTGTTTTAAATTACTTGCCGCCCATACCCATGCACGCCGTCAAGGTAGAAGCTAGTACATGTATAAGTTTTACTTACTTTATCAGGTCGAGACCACTAGATTTTCTGACGTCAGAATAAATTTGCATGTAAACTAGCTAATATGTTTACTTTACCTACTGCTGAATGAGCCGCAATGCATTGTGGGCTACTACAATTACCTAGCTGTGTTGAAAATTAAAGGCAACTTGAATTGTCCCTTGGAAACTTATTTTCAATTCTTTTTTGAAATTTGTGAAAGAAATATTTAAAATGATGTATAATCTTTCATTTTTATGCTCACATTTACAAAATTTGCTTTATGAAACCTTATATCAAATTATAATACATCGGCCTAGTATACCATTATTCAAAGAGACGTATAAGTGCTATCGCGTCGGGAAAACATTGGTTTTTTTTTTTCACGTGATATACGTGTACATAGCTTTCGCAGGTAGTATATAGGTCCTTGTTTTTAGACAGCAGAAGAAAGTGTGCAATTATTATTTAACCCCCCAAAATTATCAGAAAGTGATTTATGTATATGCAAAAGTCAAAGCGTTTGTACGATATTCGAAGCAACTGTTAATTATCTAAAACAATTACTCCAATATTAAATGTGAGCATGGAGCAGTGTCTTTAGAATATAATCTTTCAATTTCGGTCTAATAAAGTTATAAAGAAGCTCTACAGTTTTTCCGGTGACGAGTTAAATTTTGTGCAGTAAACCGACGAAAACCACGTGTAGCCATTGAATCGTAAACACGTGGTAGACTGTTAGGCTTTTGGACTCTTTCACTTGATTGGAGAACGGGCGTGACGAAGACATCGTTACATGTTCAAGATTGCCTTCCATATAAGGTAGTGGTCTCGACCTGTTTATGAAGATATAAGTAGAAGGATGTAGACTGGTAAGGTCTTACCTATATTCATACAATGATTGCTTTTTAAAGGACAATATGACAATTAAACTACACTTACATGTAGAACAGTATTTCCTGAGTTTAAAAGCGAGTGAACATTGTACTCATGATTGTAGTTCGAGGGTTATTAAATCATTCTTCGCTGAGTGGAGCAGTCTTTAGTTCTTCAAATAGTGTTCTAGTACTGTTTTTGAGTACCCCCTTGTACCTCTAGCTGTTATCATACTAGCATATCGTATATCGATATGTCATTGCTCATTCTTTCTAGAGATAGACATGCACATGTAGAATGCGAATGCGGATAGACCTTTCTAAAGCCTGCAATTATTCCTTGTAAACTATTCCAAATTTTTCCAGAGCTTCAGAAAAAAATGTATTGAATATAATTCACTTATTGTACAGTGTAGTACATATACATGTGAATAGAAGATTGAGGAGAAGGTAAATTAACTGACAAAAAAATTGTCTTGCGTAACAAATACACAGTGTCGACTCACGTGGATCAAAAATTATTTAGACATTATACGCTTCCTATTATTCTTGCAATGCAAGCACTATGTCAGGCAGTACCGGTATGTGATACATATTGGCAGCCCCACATTACTAAGACCAATGAGATGGGATTGATGTTAATTCTTGGTTGTTTGCTGCAAACTTATGAATGGGCCATTGCGGAGATTTTTTCGAAAATTAGAATTTTAAGTTAAAGTTTCACCATCCTTCAGTTGCAGAATAGTGAGATGCAGAGGAAGAAATACAAATATGCAGTGTATGGATATTTGCAAAATTTTAAATCCTGAACAAAACAGAATATAGAAACAATAGACCAATAAATCAAAAGAAAACATAAAGAAAATTCAAATTAAGTGTAAAAACGACTAAATTTTTTGAATTAAAGTAATGTTTTATAGTGAAAAAAAAAATGAATGTCTGCCATTTTGAATCACAATTTTGACCCATTGAAAGCCATTTTCATGAAGGTCAGCATATTTTTTTTTCGGATTCAGCATACCCGAAATTGGTTTTAAAAGTATGCTGGACGAAAAAATTAATTATTTACCGTTAGAAGTATTTTTTTCTATAAATCGGACCATACTATGTTGCAATTTTTTTTAAAGACAATGAGAAACTGGATTAAAATTGTAATTAAATTTTTGAATATTTTTCATACATTTCAAAAATATACAAAACCAAATATTTGAGGAACTTATCGTATTACCTTAATATACGTACCGAACTTCACTGCCCAAAGGATAAGTTGTAATAAGGTATTGAAGTTTGGGGGGGGCATAGAAGTAATTTTCTTAAGAACAACAATACCATCAACCCTAATCAGTAACAACAATTACTACTTATTTTCTTCGGGCGTTATAGAATTTGATCACGTGACCGAATTCATGTCACATCCCAATGAAACTCTAAAAATGATATCTTATTTCTTAATTCAGATCTTTTTTTTTAACTTTCATTTGAAGTTTCCTTTGCATGATATTTATGCGATATGCTCTTCATATGAAATTCATATGAAATTTATGTAAAAATCACATGAAGTTTTCACATAAATTTCACATGTCTTGTTTTTCGTGTCTTTTTTATGCGAAGAATTCACATGAAATTGAAATACATGTGAGCCACTTTTGCCTGTGTAACTTGTATTGTTTTGATAGACTTTTGTGTTTGGTAACAATTATACTTTTATATTTGCTTTTTCGTTAATAAAGAAAAAAATCATTCAATAGCTTACCTTTAATTGTAAGTTCATATTTCATTCCATCCAGCAAGAAGAAATCAACATCTAAAGCTAATAGTTTATGACTAAATTTTAGTATTTCCCTTCTAAGCAAAAGGACTTTAGCTTCTGGTATCATGTATGTTAACAAGTAGCTGTTTGTCTTTTCCCCTCCTCTATAAATTACAGGCTCTTTCAGCATTAGCTTAAGTTGTGTTCTTATGTCCTCGATCTTTCCTGTTGTCAATATACGTTTACAGTTGACGTGAAGAGAAATGTCTTTAAATCCGTTTACTGTCAAGGCAAAAAATATATATTTAAATTGATCTTTTCCAGAGAATGTTTTCGTTTATTTCAGGAGACGAAACTTGAACAGCAGGTCTCAGGCCTACGCATCTTGTTAAATGAAACAAACAAAACACACTTACAGTTAAAAATGTTACCCATAAACAAAATTAAAAGTATGATCAAGGATCATCAAAAACAAAGTAAAGTGCTCAGTTTAAAATAAATAGTAAAGTGGAATTAGCTCCGATCCCAACTCCAAACCCATACCTTCCCCCATCCCCACATTTTGCATATCAACAAACTGACTAAAAAAAGTAGTAATGCTTTTAAAAGTAAATTTTGTACAGGGCAAGTTGTTTTTTTTGAATGTTTTATGCCCTTATGTGTTAAAATTGGGTGTTTGATGAAATATAGCCATGAAACTCCCCGGTATACATAATATCAGTAATTATTACGTTGGTAAAGGGGATTACTGATTGATTGTATACTGTTTAACGTCCCTCTCCAGGATATTTCACTGATATGGAGACGTCACCATTGCCGGTGAAGGGCTGCAAACTTAGGCCTATGCTCGGCACTCAGGGCCATTGAGCAGGGAGGGATCATTATCGTGACACACCTGCTGTGACATGGGGTCTCGGTTTATACGTGGTACTGGACTTTTGCGAAGACACTGACTTTTACAGTTGACGGCTTACTTTTACAACAGGGAAATATACGGTAGCTCTTTTGTGAAAATATATTGATCTCAATATTTAACAAAATGATAATAACGGGCTATTTCAAAGATCATATTACGTTGTCTAGGACGAAAATGGCAATATTCCTACCCTCAGCACCCTCCCTTTAAGTCTTGAATAACTTCTGCCGAGTTTTCCTACCGAAATGTGTCTTCTTCTTTATTCAGTTATTTCATTTCTTAAGTTATTTGAAATAAAAGGATATATTAATTCTCGTGAATAAAGTATCCAAATAAATTTTATTTTACCATCAATTATAATTTTTGTTTGACAAATTATTTCTAAACCCCGAATACAATAACTTTCACCTCTTGAGATGTTTTCTATTTTCTTTTTTCAATTCCGTACCTCCGTACATGACGCAGGTTTAAATGTCCAAGTAAGCTGTCGAATGTAAAAGTTAGTCTCTTCATAAAACTCCATTAAGGACCTATTCTAACCCGAATCCCCACGGGGAGGGGATTACTGATCATGAACGGATCTTTTATACTATGTGGATGTTTTAACATGAATTCTATCTTTCCTGGTCCAGTGGTTCTTGAGAAGAAGATTTTAAAAAGATTCCATTAATATTTCACTTATTCATAAATATCTCGACTTTGAAAAGGGAATGGCTCTTCATTTGAACAAACTTGAATCCCCTTTACCGAAGGATATACTTTGTGGCAAGTTGAAATTGGCCAAGTGTTTCTTGAAAAAGATAAAAATAGAAAGAAATATGACAACGACAAGAACACCAACGATGACAGACAACAACCAAATTTGATCAGAAAAGCTCACTTGAGGCTTTCGCTCGGGTGATTTGAAAAAAAAAAACATATGTAAAAAGATTTGATTTTAGATATTCAAATAGTTTATTAACATACCTGGTGGCGTCTTTGGACGCTCTAAATAAATTGTAATAGGGAGAGCCTCTGCTACTTTTGCACATTCATCCACAAGTTCGTGCTTATTAATTCTAAGCAGAAGAGCTTGGAGATAATACAGATTTATTTTCAAGTCTATCTTTTTAGCAAGGCAACGTAAGAAATCTTTACGAGGTTTCTTCCTTTCCTCTTCTGATAAAAGATCTAACAATATATAAATTCTTTCAGTTATTTAAGACATACACAAGGTAAGGAGTATTCATTTAGAAAAATAGATTTTTTTTCTTCTAAGTCTCAATCATATAATTATATTAGATGAAAACATGGTAAGTAACATCGAACTCATCCTGCTAGCAATAACATATCGTCATCTTTTTCCACCACCAAAAGAAATTATTAATAATTCATAATAATCCAAAAAAGCGTTATGACCTTTTCATGCCACTGTAAACAAAATTTCGGGGAATAGTTTTTGTCGTGTCCGTCTTTCTTTGTGTCTGTCTCTCTGTCTGTCTGCTTGTCCGCAAAAAACTTTAACCTTGCCCATAACTTTAAATTTAGTGGAGCTATGACTTTTATATTTCACACGTACACGTATTCCTTGTGACAAGAACTTTCTTTTGTACCACCAAATTTGAACTTTTGACCTTTACCTTGGAGTTTGTCCCGCTTTTACACAAATATTCTGAACAATTACTTTGGCCACTTTTTTTAAATAGAAGATACCGGGACTTTTATATTTCATATAATTATGTATTTTTATGGCAAGACCTTCGATTGAGTACCAACAGTCTTGATCTTGACATTGGAGACTTCCGTTTTTATGAAAAAAAAACCTTGGCCAAAACTTTTGAATGGTGATGGATAGGGATTTTCTACTTATATATAATCCTTGTGAAATGACTCTTCATCTGATACCGAGAAGTTTAACCCTTTGACCTTGACCTTGCAATTGGAGTTTAATCTACTTTTAAAATACAACCTTGACCATAATTCTTCAAGGGTTGGGACTAAGCCTTTCATACTTCACATTTTTAATCCTTTTTAATCCTCTTGACTAGACCTTTCATATGGCATCAAGAACTTTGACTCTTTGACCTTGACTTTAGAGTTGGACCCGTTTTTACAGATAAAATCAAAATGTTTACTTTTGGAAGATACTAGGTTTCCTTGTGGCAAAACTTTTTATTTGAAACTAACAATTGTGACTTTTTGATCTTGGAGATATATGTACTTACGAAAAACTTTAACCTTGGCCATAGCTTTTGAACGGTAAGCGCTAGGGCTTTCATTTTTTTTTTTACATATTTAATACATGTGAGAAGACCTTTCATTGGATAGCAACAACTTTGACCCTTTGACATTGACCTTAGAGTTCGAACTACTTTTTACAAACTTAAACCTTAGCCATAACTTTTGAACATTTAGAACTAGAGCTTCCATACTTCACAAATATAATCCTTGTGAGAAGAGAAGAACTTTCAATGGATATCAACAACTTTGACCATTTGACCTTGGAGTTTGACCTACTTTTTTTACAAGCTTAAAATTTAACCTTGGTCATAACCACTAAACGGTAAGGACCAGCGCTTTCATACTTCTCATATGTAATCTTTGAGACAAGACCTTCCTTCAGAAACCAACAACCTTGACCATTTGACCTTGACCCCGGGGTTTGTCTTACATTTAAAAAAGTTAAGCTTGGTCATAAACTTTGAACAGATGGTATACTATATGTCACATGTTTTTCATGTGAAAAGGCCTTCCTTTAGATACCAACATACGTATTTGAGAAATGCATTTGAGAAAGTTTATCTTTCGCTATGTTCCCATTCGGGGGCATCAGTGTTTCTCAAACACATCTTTCTAAATTATTGTACCTTCTGTGAAGTCCCGCAGATCATCTATATCTTTCTCCTCTAATTTTTCGTTTATGTCTTTGAACAAAAGCATATTAATTGCAGTTTTGATAGCCGTATCTGTGTCAATATTTGTACATTGATCAAATGCCTCTTCATCTGAAATTAAAGAAAAAAATCATTAAGAACTTCATGCATGCAAATAATTAAGAAATATTTCTATGCTTTTTTTTATTTCACGATGTGATCTTTTGAGTGGCTTGTGTGATATTTGCATAAAACATCAAAGGCGTTTTTGCATAAAATTATCACACAAGCTAATCGATTTATCATCGTCGTGAAACGAAAAAGTCTGACAATTATCCTTATATATTTGAATGCCTTAGATTCCGCAAAGCCAGCTTCAATCTTTTTTAGCCCAGCCCCGCACGTGATTTTTTTAACCGCGCCATTCGATGAACCGTTACATTTATGTAGAAATAAAGTATTTCAACAATTTGTAATTTTATCTCGAACAAAATTAAAGACACTCGAAACGTAAATATATAGACATACATACACATTTAAACATGATACTAAGTATAATTTCATTTAACCCAAATATTGAAGATTTCGCTGCTCTTTCATTTATTGAATAACGAAAAAGTACTTTTGGATTGGAGACATGCATATTTTAGGTTTCCCAGAGCAAAACGCGGACACTGCCATTCTTTCTATAACAATGCAGTCATCCTTTCTGTCAGTAAGCTACCTCCTACTATATTTTACTTAAAAGCCGTGTAATCTTTCTCGAAAGATCTTTACGCTGAAAATTAGATTTTTAAGAAATTATTTTATATATATTCTCAAACCATAGGATTAAAAATATCTAGTCATTTTTTTTTAAATATGACTGGTAAAAAAATATACTCGAGAAACGTATACAGACGTACTGCTACGAGATCTATACTAATTGAGTCATTAATCATAGGTATGACTTGATATTTTTCCTTAAATGCTTAAATTATTAGATTGAAATGATGAGCCATATATTCCATAAAGATATGATTGTAATAGCAGATTCACTACATCTGTTTCATGATATGATGAAGTTTTACTGAACATAAACGATAACGAGAAAAACTAGAAGCAACTGTTGTATGGCAAGACCCCATGATTTCAGTTTCCAATGTCAGCTCCCCATGTTTAGGAAATAAGATTCAACAAACTGTCACATAAATATTGTAACGGGGGAAGGGACGGAGAACGGTCAATCCTCTACTACTCCTGGACCCACCGTCACTCTCTCACCTCTATCTATAGGGGCTGTCTTATCTTTCGTGGTAAGGCTTGCTTTACACAGCTCAACCCGAGCTCAGGAGGAATAATATGGCGCAGTGGTTCAAAACTCAATACTCTTTAATTCTTATATCACAACACACTAAATTATCTCCCTTTAATCAATGAACTCAGATAATACCCCACTGCCCAAAACTTATACCTCCTATTATTAACCTGCGCTCTCTAAGTTATACTAAATTTATAAATACACGAAATCTCTCAGCTTTTCTTCTCGATTTGTCAAGCTCATTACAACTTAGACCTACGGAAGTCACTAAAATTCTTGAATACTCATTTATCTCATTATTCTGTTCTTACTCTTATATCCCACAATTTCCATCTTGTTGGAAAATCACACTTTGATAAAACCTTATAAATCTCTGTACTTGGAAATGAGACAAAATATAGTTTTACAATTTATTATAAGAATTATCTCTCAAATGAACAATCAACAAACAAATTCTAAGCTCTGTCTAAGTCTGTCTATGTCACCTATTAGTCCTGATTTATCTGTCTAAAACCAACCTCAATGCAACTCACAAAACTCCTAATTCTCAGAACTTCCTTCCAGACCTCCTGGATGAAAGTAAAAACCAATAACTAAAACTTAATCCCTTTAACCTAATTAATTCCTAACAAATTTCAAACACCAGTAATTCCTGCAAATTTCCTAAGTCTGAATTTCAGTTAAAAACAGTAGCAAAATTTAGAAATACACTAGCTTCCTTAGCTAAGTGTATAAATTACCTGAACTATTTCAAGTATTCTAAAATTTATCAACAATTTACCAAAAATTCAAACAACCAACAAATTTTAACTAAGTCCAATTCCTCAGTTAAAATTCACTAAAACCTGACCAAAACTTCCTATAAAATTCCACAAATAGTCAAAGAGTTCCTAAAAATCCTTAAAATAACCCTGGCTCTTCTTCAACTAAACTAAAAAGTCATTATTAATTTAAATCTAATTTAAAAACGCCCAACCCATACTATTTCCTTACCCCTAAAACACGACTTCTTTAAAGAAATCAACTTAGCAGAAGAGCAAAAATTCCTTGAATGTCTCTCTTTTATACAATAACATGACGTAAATGTTGGAAACTGTTGGACTAGTTGGAAAACGTTGAAAAATCTCTCGTGACATTTCCCCTTAACAGCAAAGTCTATAGAAAAATCTAATAACTACATACAAGACAACTTTTCTGAATGAAAGTAATCTGTAAAAACATTCTTCAATTAGAATAAGTCAATAAATCTCCATTTAAATCAACAAATAACACAATTAACTCCAAAAATCCTAAAATCCGGGCGATATTTCAAGAAGATTTTGAGCTTATGCAAAGTAATTTTATATAAAAACTCCCTAGGAGGCCTCTCGCTCCTCTCAAAGTGCCCCGCCCCGTTTGTTTTATTAGTATTTATAGTACTATATATTGCTATTTTTAGCGCAGGGGCATGAGGGGAGTTATTGCGTATAAAACAGGTTCTCAAGAGGTTACCGGTATGTCTCTCGCATCAAATTTAAGAGGTCCCGAGATCGAATCTAGGTCGAACCTTTCTTTTTTTTAAATACTTTTTTTTTACTAAATGATAGTATTCATACGACGGCGTATTCGTGCCATTTAAACAATGTAGAATTTTTTTTATTAAAGCGTTTGTACGATTAACTAAATCGATTGTACGATTAACTAAATCGATTGTACGATTTACTAAATTGTTTGTACGATTTGCTAAATCGTTTGTACGATTTACTAAATCGTTTGTACGATTTAACAAATCGTTTGTACGATTTACTTAATCGTTTGTACGATTTACTAAATCGTTTGTAGATTTAATAAATCGTTAGTACGATTTTACGAAATTAAAATATTATTTATTAAATTGTACAAACGATTTATTAATCGTACAAACGATTTACTTTATTGTACAAACGATTTATTAAATCGTACAAACGATTTAGTACAACGATTTACTAAATCGTACAAACGATTAACTTAATTGTACAAACGATTTATCAAATCGTACAAACGATTTATCAAATCGTACAAACGATTTATTAAATCGTACAAACGATTTTAAAAAATATTTCTACATTGTTTAAATGGCACGAATACGCCGTCGTATATTCAGGATGTGAAATGAAAAATTTATGATGTTATAAAATCATCATTACAGTGATAAAAATTCCATATAAAAAATCTTCTATACACATAATGAAGAATAAGCAATCAAATCCTTATATGCATATTGACATACATGTATTTTATTTACTTCAGTATACATGTATACATTTAATAATTCTACAAATTCAGTCAGGGGGAGCCGACTTTTTCCCTAAGCGGGGGACACGAATTCTCTGAATTAGCTTGTTTCAAAGTGCGTTGCCACATAGCCATCGATGGGATGAAATGTTATGTGAAAAGGCATAATTCATTCGAGCTGAAAGATGATTATTTTTATATATTTTTAATCGATTCATATACAGTTTATTTCCTGTACCCAAACAATCAGGCGACAGGGATGCTTAGGCCTCCTTATCAACTGTTTCGATCCCTGATTTTTACAATGGTCAGATTCTTGTTCCCTACTGAATTCATGAGATTTATAACATTTTGTTGTCCCCCACTTTCGCGAAAGCGAGGGGACATTAAATCTCATTCGTCTGTCTGTCAGTCTGTCGGTCTGTCAGTCTGTCAGGCTGTTCGTCACAAAAACTTTAACCTTGCCCATAACTTTTGATTTACAAGAGCTATGGCTTTCATATTACACATGTGTATTCCTTGTGACAAGACCTTTCTTTGGGTACCATCAAATTTGACCTTTTGACCTTGATCTTGAAGTTTGACCCACTTTTACACCGAAATTTCAATTTTTTACTATGACCATAACTTTTGAATGGAAGGTACTAGGACTTTCATATTTCACAAATGTATTGTTTGTGGCAAGACCTTTTATTGGATACCAACAACCTTGACCTTTTGACCTTAACCTTGGAGATTTACGCACTTATGGTAAAACGTTAACCTTCACCATAAGTTTTGAACGGTGAGGACTAAGGCTTTTGTACTTCACATATGTAAACCTTGTGAGAAGACCTTTTATTGGATACCAAGAACTTTTACCTTTTGACCTTGACCTTGGAGGTCTTAACTACTTTTTAAAAACTTTAACCTTGGTCACAACTTTTAAAAAGTAGATACTAGGACTTTTAATTTCATATATGTATTCTTTGTGACAAGTCCTTTCATTGGTTATCAACAACTTTGACCTTTTCACCTTGACCTTAAAGATTTACGTATTTATGTAAAAACTTTAACCTTGACCACAACTTTTGAACGGTAAGGGCTAGGGCTTTCATACTTCACATATGTAATCCTTGTGAGAAAGCATTTCATCAACAACTTTGACCCTTTGATCTTGACCTTAGAGTTGACCTTCTTTTAAAAAAACGTTAACTTTGGCCATAACTTTTTGACGGTCAGGATAAGGGATTTCATCTTTCAAAAAAATCGCCTTCAGTGATAATTTCTAAATAAATGTCATATGATAGGATGTTCATATTAGACACAATACCGGTATGTCATAAAAAATAACATCTCACCAACAAAGACACCGAAAGCGGGTGACCACAATTCTTTGAATTTGCTTGTTATTTTCACCTTTAAAATGACGTTTGTTTAATTACCATATCTTGTTTCTCATAGACAAATAAAAACTATTTAAATCTTACACAATGGCGTTTGTAAAACAATATTCCAGATAAATAACCTTAAAATTAACATTCATTTGAATTGCAACTCATATTTGTTAAAAGGTCAAATTTTAAATTTATTATTTTTTTTAAATCTTAATTAGCAAATCTTTTTAAGTTTTTGTCACTTGCTTTTTGAGATTTTTAAGAATCCATTAATTTTTTCACTAATTAGTAATTAATTCTCCTTGGAAAGAGGTATGGCCTTTTATTTGAATAAACTCTAATTCTCTTTGTCTAGGGATGCACCGTTTAAAGTTTGTTTGGTATTAAACTAGTGAAGATGAAATTGTAAAAATGTTATCAACGACGACGATAACATCGACAACTATATACAACAAAGACATTTTGTTCTGAAATGCCCAGATGAGCTAAAATTGGAGCCTTTGATACGGTTTTATTGGTTTTGTTTTATAAATTCCTGGAACTTTTATGATTAAGTTAGTAGTGTACTTGTACCATTTTCAAACCTACCATTATCTGGTGATGAATCGTGATTATTACCATCTAGTGGTACCACCTGTCCTTCTGCGCCTGATGGTGAGTCGTGTCTACCCGTGTTTGATAATGTATCGTGTTTTACACAATCTGTGGGTGAATTGTGGTTATCATTATCTTGCGCCGAATCTTGAATAACCCCATCTGGTGTTGAATCGTGATTCACATCATCTGATAAGCAATGCCCATTACCATCGAGAGGTGAATCTTGTATATTGTCGTTTGATGTTGAATCAACTTTACAGTTTATTTGTTGTGACTCATGATCATGTCTATCAACATCTGGTGGTGTATCCTGCCTATCACATTCAGAAACTAAATCATGACTTAATGCATGCGACAGTGAATCATGTCTATTGCCATCTCGTGTTGAATCATATTTAACACCATCAAATGTTGCATCGTGACTGTCGTCTTCTGGTAGTGAACCGCGAATACCATTGGGTGGTGAATTACGTGTACAATCACCTAGATGTAAATTAATTGTAATTAATATTTTGATAAACTGTAAATATTCATGAATAGAAATTAAAATGACTATTTGAATGCTGTTTCTCAAAATTTTTTTTGTTTCTAAAAGGTTTAATAGTGAAGGGATATAATAATGTCTCGTAGATTATATAACTTTTCTATCTTTCTTTAAAGGCAGAGATTTTAAGCACCGCCTTCAATAATACTTGGTCTGGGTAGCCCTGTCAATCAAGTGCGTGAAGGTCCATCATTGGATGCTGGAACTTGATTGACATTTACTTTCTGTGTATACCCTGTATACCGTGTTTGGGTCTCATGGGGACCTTCTAATTAAATTTTGATCCTTTTATGTTTACTGAACATGGTATACAGAAACTGTATTTAAAACTATGAAAATGTTTAAATTAATAAAATAGAAGAATCAAATATACCTTTAGTACTTGAAAGGATTATAATATAATATGCATTTTTTTTAAATAAAATTAACCTTTGGTACAAAAAACTTTTTTTTTCAAATAAAATCATGTAAAATTTCGATAATAATTTTAATATGCTAAATAGTGAACCTAAAGTGGAAATGTTATTGAAAAAGTTCAGAGCAGCACTCTGTGAAGTAAATAAAAAAATAATGTTTCTAATGATGGGTCACTTATATTTTTCTTTTTTAATCAGACAGAATTTACAAGCAATCTTTTGGCATTTTCATGGTCATTAAGCTTTATTAAAGGGTAGGATAAATCTAGATATTTTTTTTTAATGAAATGTAGTTAACATGGCCTCTTTTCATTTGATTAATACATGTATATGGGATCCTGTGGATAAATGAATTAAGTCAAATTTGGTTGTTACAGGACTTGTTATTTAATTAACACATATGCCAATTTTGTTTATAAATATTTGATTTTACAGTATGATATCACAATTTTTTTAAATTTGTAGGTGTTTTCAAACACAAAAAAATAAATCAATATGTAATTGAAAAACCCTTTTACTTCTAATTTTAAAATTGTCTAAAAATCCTCAACACAGGTAAAGTTTGACACCTGGGGTATTTCACTGTGTATTAAATCACTTCCTGTGTATAGGGATTAGGAGACAGATGACCACAGGTAGACTGCTAGCCCCAAGGCATTCACACCTGTACAAAATAAGCCCCTCCCTCACCTGGAATTTACCACCCGGTTAAAAATCTCCACATTTGAGCTATTTTGAACTGTTAAAGGTGTCACTTATCTAATACCGGTATGAATATTCATCTTGTGTCAATATGATATATCGATCCTGGTGAGCTTGAGTTAAAAGACACCCCAGAATCAGACAAATCTGTTTCATATTTGGAAATTTTACTTGAATAAGACACTATTGGTAATCTAACAACCAAGCTCTATGATAAACATGATGACTTCAACTTTTCTATTGTCAACTTCCCTTGATTATGCAGCAATATATCTTCATCACCTGCATGCGGAGTTGATATAGCTCAGTTGATTCGATATGCAAGAGCATGTTCTACGTTAGCCTGGTCCCTGGCTCATCCTTGCTAAGGCAACTAAAAACACTTTATAAACTTCGCATGCAGGTGATGAAGATATATTGCTACAGAAATAAGAAAACCTGTTTTTGACAACCCGGATCGTATTAATAATTATTAATGACGAGTCAGAATAGCTCAGAAAGCTATAGACCGCTTGATGCTGAAGCATTCATATTTTTAAAAGTCAAGACTTGATACTAATCTGGCGATGCACTTTAAATGTCACAAAGTCTTACCTTTTCAAACTTTCTTCTTGGTCCCTCAATTACCCCTCTTTGATGCTCAATCATTTTTTAAATCAAAGTAGTAAAAGATTGATTGTTTCTATATTGTTTTACGTCCCTCTTGGGAATTTTTCACTCACATGGAGACACCATCATGCACTTGTCGTTGGAGAGCTACAAATTTTGACCTATACTTTGATTTACCTTCAATCAATGGTATTTCTTCTGGCATGTTGTGGACACCATCTTTTTTCCCCAAATCACCTTTACCTTTTAAAAAAAATAAAATATCAAGATACAAAAAAAAAGTTATCATGACGATATACCCCCATACTCAGTACTTTTATTGTATAAAATCCCAGAAAAATAAAATATGAAACTTGAGGGGACATTTAAGATTGGAATAATATTTGAGATAAGAAATTCGGAATTTAATATAAAACTTATCCAATCAGAAAGTAAATTTCAGATTCGATTTTCTTGGTTTTGATTAACAATAAATCGATGGATGATTAACAAATAGTTTAATGAATTTTTATTGACTTTACAAAAACATACAAACACGTACACAGACACACCATGGCTGGGAGAGATAACATGTACATTTTTGAAATATCAAAGCAAAAAAATATGAATTGACAAATTTCACAAATATGATAGAATAGATGACATTATATTTAGATGTTTATTTTTTTCAAATATGTGGTTCCAGTCTTTCCATCTTCTTTTATACACATTAAGTTCATTGTTGACTTTATGCAGTTTTTCTTCAAATATATAATAAACACATAAGTATTTAATGACACTTTGACTGTTGAAATATGCATTGTTTAATAAGCAGCAATATAAGCTGTGTCCTCTGTTGAAGAAGCAAGTATAACTGTACATATATCAAATTTTATTATTTTTCCAGTTTCTTCAAATATCCATGTCTTCTAAAAGAGACCAAATTGGGTTTACTTTAGGACAATAAAAAATATATGTGTAATTGATTCAATATCATGAATTGAAGACTGAGGAGAAGCCGAGGTCAATATGGATATTTTTCTGATGAATAACAAACCATATTCAAAACCAAAAGAGTCCATAATTGTTTTATTATATAGTCGGGATTTGAATAGATAAGACAATGAAGGCTGTACGACAACAACATATTCATTTGCTATCTTCCATTGTTAAAAATAAAAAAATATATCCAGATTACTGTTTGTAACCTCCGTGTTTTCCTTACCGAGTTTCGCTATGTGTAAGACGTACAAATATTAAAAAATAATCATGAAATTGGTTTGAATAATTGTTTTCCTGTTCAGATATGTAGTTCACTGCGGCCGTTGCAACCATTGTTGCACGCGTATTGACCCTCCGGTGAATACTGCCTAAAATCCGGTGAATATGTATAGTGTTATGAACTGTTTGTATTGATTATATAGGTAAATATATAGACTATATAATAATACACTTTATTAATTCAGAAAGCAGTTGGATCCAATAAGATTTTGTAAATAATAATCTTTTGATCCAAGTTAATTTTAGAGATTTATGTAAAATAGTCAATATTGTCATTTTTACACCACTATTCTCTTTGGAAAGTTGCATTGTTTTTCTCGAGATTTTCTCTGTTCTTTTGTTCCAGATGAATTTATTTTAAAAAGTTTTTCCAATTCCTTTATCCACTTTTATTCGGCTTTGGGAGAACAGTAAATGAATTTGTAAGTTTAGTTAAGAGTTGCCTTTTCGTTACTCTAACCCTTCCTAGTGGGATTAAATTTCTTTTTGACCATGAAATGGGTCCCTTTTTAATGTTTTGAAAACATTTCTCAAAATAAAAGTTGATCCATATTTTTAGGTCAGCAGTATACGTGATGCCAACAACTGAAAAAGGTCCCACTGTCCACTGAAGTCCTGTTTTATTACATACAGTTTCTCTGGAATTTATTTCAGAACCAATCCATATTGATTTTGTTGTAGTAATATCTGGTTCTGGGTCCTGAGAATTTTGAAAATTGATAAAGAAGATCTAAGGTCCTTTTAGGCCTTTTTCTGAACCATCTAAAAACATATCTGTGTCATCTGCGTATTGAAGTAAACATATTTATCCTCACCTATTTTTATTTCCATAATATTTTTATTTTGTCTAATCATATATCCCACAATTTCTTCACACAGGTTAGATATATATGGAGAGACAGGATCTCTTAGGCGACATCCTCTACCTTTTTGAAGAATTGTGAAAAATATACCGTTTTGAATTACAAATAGTTGAGTTTGAATATATATTACTTGTAACCCCTTGATAAGTTCAGGACCACAATTAAAAGTCTTTTTGTACACAAATTTCCATGAGTACCAAAAGCCTTCTCAAAATCAATGAGTAAAACAATTCCTGGTATATTTCTTGTCTTTTGCTTTGAAGTACGTTATAGATAATACGTGTATTTTCACCAATAAATCTATTCTAAGAAAACCTTTTTGATTGTTATGTATAACATAATCTTCTATGCATTTTATTCTATTTGCAATACACACAAAAGCTATTTTATATGAAATATGAGCAAAGATATTGGTCGCCAATTTTTAAAAAATATATATATCTTGGTTCAAGCCTATCACCTTTTGGTAAGATTGTAATAATTCCTTGTTTCTGAGTGGTGGATAATTCTCTCTTTTGAAATCCATAGTTAATTAATCTAATAAGGAACTGCCCAATATCTTTCAAAAAAATTTTAAAACTCATCTGTAATTCCATCGCTTCCTGGACTTTTATCATGTTTCATGATTTCTAATGCTGTTAAGACTTCAGCTTTAGTTAACGTACCTTCTAACTGAAACCACGATTTTTTTATTTAGAATTTTAACATTGTCCATATTCAAAATACTTTTTAAGTCGATATCCTGTAATTTATCATCCGAACATGCATATAGCTTTTTATAAAAGTTTTCAATTTCTGATAAAATTTCAGATTGTTCTGTTATTATATTACCACTATCTCGAATTAGTTTGATGACTGCTTTGTTTATAAAATTTTTTTTTCCAAGCTTAAAAAATACATGTCGGCTTTTCCCCTTCTTTTATCCACATTACTTTTGTTCTCACGAACACACCTTTAACATATTCTTTTCGTATGTCTTCCAATCTCCTTTTTACATGTTCTAATTTTTCTATAAACAGATAAATTACCGGTATCAATGTTTCTAATACTTTCTAGCTTAGATAACTTTCCTAGTATTAAAACTCAATTTTTTTTCTTTCTTGAACAATTACTTATTGTAGCCCCTCATATGCTCAATAATAGTTGTTCAAACAATTGTTGGTCATCAATTTGAAAAGAAAGAAATTTATTTTCTATATCATTAATAGCTATGGTTTTGTATAGGGAAGCCATATAATAGTTTTATAAAGTAATATTCTTACAAAAATGCCAAATACTGGGCTAAATATAAAGAAAGACCTGAAAACTCTGTCAGAATGGATTGGGTGTCCTAGAAACAAGATTCTGATCAGAAATAAGAACACAAAATACAAACCATATACTCTTCCATTTTCACTAAACTAATGTGATGAAAGAGAAAGACTATCACTATGTCTCCCAAATTATTTGCTACTTAGAGCTTACTCAGAGTACAACTAGTTTTTAAAGTGATGGATGGTAAATTGATGCTACAGAGAATAAAAATCGACATTTAGTTAATTCTGTGGTCAAAATAATTACTTAAAAGATAACTAATCATGAGGTTGCATTGTGGTTGACCAAAGCTTCTTTTGAGGTATGTCACTCGTGAAATTTGTTAAATCATGGATTTTTTCAGAAGAACATTTTGGATAAGAATTCATATAAAGTGATTCAAAATCACAGAGAAAATCGGGGGTCAGTGTTCATCGTACTGATTTACATTACAGTGAAGTTGACCTTTTTGCACTTGAATTTTAACTGTTTGGTTAATTACTTTAACTTTTATCATATATTTTATCAGGTGTGACCTTGGCGATATGATTTTTTATGTAATATATTTTGAATAATATTTATAATTGAACAAATCTTGCAAATTAATGCGCATAAATAATTGTGTGACCTTTTCGTGATCACGTGATCAATAGAAAGGCTTCACAACGGTGCCACCGTTCAACGGTAACCACCCCTGGGGTTTGTAGGTGTTCATATTTTAAGCCTTCCTCACGGTCCGTGTAATATTTAACAAGGCGTGCAGAATGCCTATAACTTCAGATAAAAAAAATCATAATTATTCAATTTGTGAATAAAGAATTCAAAGTAAAGTTCTTTCTATTGACATTTATGAAATAATGAAAAACGAAACTTTTCCTTACGAAAAAAAAACTTTTGGAAGAAATTAATCTATTAATTATAAAATATTTGGAATTCTTGAAATTCGAGCCGTAGCGATTAAAATCCGGAATAAATATCAAAGAATTCCGTTCATTTTTATGCATAAAATGGCCCTGTAGATATACCAATTTATTGTTTAACACTTGATTTTCTATTTGAAGCATTAAAATAAAATAGAGACTTAGTGCTTTCATATACGATAAAAAAATTTCATCTAAAATTCCAGGTCTAGGACTACTGGCTTCATGAAATTGCAATGTTCTTGAATATTTAGGTAAACAGGTATAATTGAGTATTTTCAATGAAGAAAATAATATATGAGCGCACTCTCTGATCTAAAAAATAAAACATGTCCATTAATCCTCCGAAATAGTTCTATCATTTACTAGTTGAATATTTTAGATCAGATGTTGCGCTTTTAAATCAAATATCAATAAGTAGCTTTAAAAATAGGCCGTTCTTGTACACTTTTTCAGAATATGAGGAAATTGGCCCATTTTGTGACGTCATAATGCATTGACTATCAAGAAAATGAAGTCATTTTTTTATAAATACGCAGTCACCAAAAATCTAAGTGATATTTAAAACTATGCTATAAAACTAAACTATAAAAGTACACATTTCTGACAAAACATTCGCATCTTTCCGAGAAATACTTCAAATCCATTAGGTCAAGGGTCATATCACAAACATGTTTAAAATGCCCGATATCATCATGAGCCATGTAGCATAGACTGGTTAGCGCGTTAGTCTCAGAGCAGTATAATACTTCGGATTTTTATTGCTGGGGATCGAATCACAAGTATAACATCTAACATTTTTATAAATGATTTTTTTTACGAGATTAATTTTCATTTAGAATTTTTTTTTCCTCAAAATTTCATAAACTTCAATAATGAGAAGTCAATTTAAATACTCAATTCATAAAAAATGTGATTTCATGATATCTGATGCTATAGGCATTCTGTCCGCCTTATCCCCGGTCTTCTTTGTAAATTTTGATTTTTGAATTAAAATATTTAAAATATTAATAAGAAATAACATTTTGAGTTTTTGAAATTTAGAAATGATTGCAACAAAAAATACATTTCATATGTCGCCTATTTGCAACTTATAGTATCCTTTAATTTGATAACCATGTTTTGATTCACATGTATTATTTGTGAATGTTTGTTGCACATTGAAAATTCATAAAATAAATATTATAAATTAAAAATATATAGATAATAACCTTTTCGTCTTTTCTTCCATGATCTGCGAATTACAAAACCAGCCAATATGATTAAGACACACGTAATAATAAAAAGGCAGACGGAAAGTGCGACAATGGTGATGAGATTCCCCGAGTTTCCTGCTTTAGGTTGGACATTACTAGTATTGGTGGTAGTGGTGGTGGTAGTGATTGGGTCTGTGCTCAAACCATCATGTGTGTCCACCCTGACAAAGAAAATGAATAAGAATCATCTCAAAGGGCCCCGCTTTCAACAACAAACATGAAAATGTAAGGAAGATGGATATTTGTGTACTGCTCCATACCCTATATTAAAAAACCGCACAAAAATCATGAAAGTTGCATATTCTCTATGAATATTGTTGAATATCCTCTTTCAAAATATGGATAGAAAATCACAAATTCATGCTCCGTACCTTAAGACAGTTGGTAAAGTTTGAGGCTGACAAAACTTAAGGGAAAGAAATTATGCACCAAACAAAAATTTCAAACAGAGTTGCTTTTTTTGACCTTGACCCCTTGACATAGAAACTTTGTTTAAGGTCCCTGCATATCCATTGTGGCATTCTGTGAATGAAATATAAACCACATTGGACCAAGGGGAGAGAGGATGTGCTACAAATAAGATTTTTCATACAATTTTTAAACCTTTAACTTGAAACATGGTTCAAAGTCACTACACATCCTTTATTCAAATGCACTGTTAGTAAAGTATAAGCAAGATGGTCCAAGGAGAAAGAAAATATGCTCCAGGCAAGAATTTTAAGAGAGGCTATATTTGAACTTGACCCTTGACCTAGAAACTTTAATTTGTTAAGGTTACTGCAAATAAATTGACCAGTGGCACTGTGTGAGTGAAGTATGAGCTACATTAGACCAAGGGGAGAGGAGATATGCTCCAGAAAAGGATTTTTGTATAATTCTGCTATGACCTTGACCTTAGAGATATAACATGGTTCAAGGTCACTGCACGCTCTCTACCTAAAGCCACTCTAAGGGTGAAGTATAAGCCAGATTGGTTTAAGGAGAGAGATGATATGCTCCGGACAAGAGATCTCGGACGGAGAGACGGATTGAAGGACAGCTAGACGGATGGACGGACAGACTGATCACTATAAGGCGCCCGCCAAGCGGGGCCCTTACAAACAAAAAATTCAACAGCAAAAATATGATACACCGGTATATTGAGATAAATACATTAGTCTGTCGAATTAATGATTATCAAATTGTGAAAACATATAAATGATTGCAGAGCAAGTTTAATTTCATCATTAACATTAATGTTTCATTAAATAAGTTTTATAATAATCAATTCAACTTTGGGTAAGATACAGTAAGACTTAAACTGTCTTACATTTCTTTGCATGGTGAATAACCAGAAATGAACGATATGTTTCCGTATATTCTCTTACCTTTTTGTATACATACATTCGGGATCAGCCAAATAGCACCCCCGTTTCATATCAATTTGAAGGCATGCTGGATCTACAGTGTATTATGTATTTAAGGACCAATTCAAAGCGTGTAAATACTTTCATCAATTCAACAAATATCGGATTTTGAAATCAACAGAATTATATCCTTATTATCGAATAAAACGATCCTTACAGTAAAGATTTCTAAAAACAAAGGCTCACTTGGGATTATTTCTTTTAAAAAAATATAATATAAAACTGTAGCTTTAAAAAAAAATTATTTGTAAATTCACAAATTAAATGCCTGTGTCGCTTTAAATATAAAACACTCGTTATTCTCTAAAATATGCACCTGATTTCACTAAACACTGATATGGTAAAATCACAATAACAGAGAGGCCATTATTATTCTGCTAAAAGAACGATTTTTCATGCACACTTGCATTTATTTCAAACAAAGGCTCTAAACCAGGAATGCATAAGTTGAAGGAAAAACAAATTAGAAATGATTGCAAATAAATACGCACACATTACGTGTCGCAAATTTAACGGACTTTGATAACATTGAAAAAATTGCAAATACATAGTGACAGTCCCTTGAAAAACGCTGATTCGATCCTTAATTTAGCTCCAACGTTAACTTAACCCTTGGGAACTTTACTGGAACATACATGTACATATATGTTACTTGATATGACCTTAATGTTCATAAGACGAACACGTTTCGCCTATCTATCTATTCACATATGAAACTTGAAATACCGTGATCCAGCTTTATACTCTGGAGACTTCATTCAAATATACTCTAATCTACAAAATTTTTGACGATGCTTGAAGATTGATATGATTTTTGCTTATATTGTCTAATATTATCTATTGTTGCAGAATCCTATCTTTATGCTTTGAATACATTTCAGCTCATACTATGTCAAAAAACTCTTTTTTTTTTATGACAAAGTTGTTCTATGGAAGAAAATCTCAGTTTAACATTTTTATCACTTCTTTTAAATAAATAAAATATATCAATTGATAGAGGCTTTGTTTTTAATTTGACAAACTTGAATTCCCTTCACAAAACTTTGTGGGGGCAAGATTGACTGTCTTTTGAGAGAAAAGTGAAATGTTAAAGGTTTTCAAACGCCAAACAAATATGATAACTAGGGGATAAACGTACACAAAACTCGTTGGTTAAAAGTCATCAAACCATAGAAAAGGGGGAATCCTAAATTCCCTTTATAGCTCAGCTGAGCCGAAGTGATTTTTCCTGATCAAAATGTGTCCGTTGTCTATCGTCGGCGTTGTCGTCATTGTAAACTTTTCACATTTTCATCTTCTTCTCAAGAACCACTGGACCAATTTTAACCAAACTTGTCACAAAGTGTTCTTGAGTAAAGAAGATTATTCGTGTTTGTTCAAATGAAGGGTCACTCCCTCCTTCAAGGGGATATCATTATGAATTAGTATAAAACGAATGTTATCTTTTAAAAACCTTCTTCTCAAGAACTATTTGGCCAGGAAAATGCAACTCATGTGGAAAAATTCTCTGATGGTGTTTATTCAAGTTTGTTGAAATCATGACCCCTGGCAGTAGAGTGGGGCCACAATGGGGAATACGTAGGCAAAATCGTTACAATTCTTCACAAGGACAACAAAGTATTGATTGACCATCAATATGAAGCATTAAAAAAAGGTAATGTATCAATTCAATGCCAACCAGGCTAACAGAGGAGGCATCAAAGTGGATCATAGTTATACAAAGTGATACAAAAGGCTATATCAATAAAAAAAAATCATCTTATAAACAGCAAAGCCATTTTGTATATTAATTTAAAAGCATCCGTAGGAAGTATTGATTTACTTTTGTTCAAATACACCCCCTGAACCCACTTTTACTAAATATATTTAAACTTTTCAATACTGAACTGATATTTGCTTTTACCTAGCTGGTGTTACTCTGGTGAGCGATGTGGCCCCTGGGCCTCTTGTTTATTTTCAAAATCAATCTTTGGTATCCATTTCGACGCATTTTACTCGCATACTTACATTGGTAAAGTTTTTGCATATCATACAATTCAATTGGACAACCATATGTAAAATTCGCACACGTCTCGCCATTAAGTTGGTCTGTATCAAGGATCTGCGGGCAATATCCAGCTAAAAAGAGAAAAAAATATCCTTGACAAATACGCTTACACAGAAATGACTGAATTCACATTTTCAACCAATAGAAAAGTAACAAGAGGCCCAAGGGCCTTAAAGGTCACCTGAGTTTGATGTAACAATCCATAGATAAAACAAAATAAGCTGATAAATAAAGCTTTGTTTTCCAAACGAAAAAAAGGGTCGGATAATCAGGGATCAGCAAAATTATGATTAAGTACGCAATAACAAACATTAAGATTGATATATGTATTTGCCTGTACCCCCTCCTCTTTTGGCATTATTCCTAATGCGGACTTAACCAAACATTAGTTTTAGAGCAATATTAGTAAACACATTTTATCCCCAAACTTTTCCCCTACTTTTGGCCACTTTTGGTCTTAAAAGATTATTCAATTTACAAATGTATAGGATAATTGTCCAATTTTCATTTATCTTACTATTCAAAAGTTTATTTGACCATTTAATACTATGAAAGTACTTTTGTATTGAACATTACAAAATTTCTTGAATAATTAGATAACTGCCCGTATGAAACAGTCCGGGCGGCTTGGACACGGCTCAGGCAAGGTTTCCGTCTTGAGAAACACGTGCTTTAGCATTCCGTGCTCCTATGTAAAGTATGTATGGAAAGCCGTGCCTGAAAGTGGTAGAGGCACGGACACAGCACGGGATATTGGCCGAATTATTTAAATGAGATCACACAGTTTTACAAAACCCGTGTCAGAAAGCCGTGCTAGTTTCCATATATGGACTCAAGGATTCTGTAAACCCATGTCTGAAACCCGTGTCCTTTTCCATATATGGAGACACGGTTTTTTGGAAACCCGTGTCAAAAAAGCCGTGCCATATACCATACAAGGAGTCAAAGGATCTGTGCATTTATTTAGATCTAGGTCAATGCCCTTAGAGAATCTCCTGATGTAACTGTGGATGCCAAAATGGTGCCTGAAACCAAACTTAAACTTCACATTGCTTTACATTAATGCTTAGTTTTAGAATTCAAGCATTAAAATTTTATATGAATGTGTTCACTTTCTGTTAAGGATTAACTTTATTAGTTACAATCCATGCTAAGTTTTTAATTAACTTTATCGATAATGTACATATTCAATTGTAATTTAATCTAGTAATTTTAATTAAGATTTTAATGATAATGTACCAGTCGGTTGTATAATCTTATATATTGTAATTTAATCTTTATTTTATAACTTGCTTATAAGTTGGACATATAGTTTTTGACCAGAAATTAACCCCCAAAAATCCAACTTTTGAGGCAAGTATATACGGTAAATAAAACTTTCACTAGCTAGCACAGTTTGTCACATAAAATATATACTAGAAAGGATTGGTGAAAGTCCAACTAAAGTCACTTAAGTAAACTTAAAAACTATTTCATCATGTTCATTGTCAACATTGCAATACAGGAAGATCATTGAAATTGAAAAATTGACTTATTTATTCTAGATTACACTTACTGCATTTAGTTCAAAAGTGAAGAAATTATCCAAGACTGACATAAATACAATTCCATCTGACATCTGTTAGTTTAATATCCTTTAACTAGAGCAAAAACACACATTCTTAGCTCATGACCATGAATCCCTCCAATTTAATTTTCAAATAAAGGAAGTTATGATTGAGCATGCTCAGTAAAAAGCCCTGAGATATAAATAAATAGTTTGAAGCAAAACCCGCCTGAGTTAAAAACCTCTCCCTGGGATGCTG